TTTTTTAGTTTTTTTTACTAGATCTCCGAAACCGCTAGACCTATCTTCATGAAAATTTGATCAAATCTTCATCCTGTTAATACAAGTAAAATGTTTTTTGAATTATTCCAATCGGACGCTCCGTTCTCTTAAAAACTGAGTTACCGTTTTTGGCCCTTTTTGCCCCATATCTTCGGAATGGCTAGACCTGCCTTTGACAAAAACTAATCAGCACGTCTCCTTATCAATACGAATCGAATGTTTTTTTGAATTATTCAAATTGCTTCATCCGTGTTCCCGAAATCGTCGACGAAAATTTGTATCCGAACACACACACATGGACGCACACACACACACACACACATACATCAATTTTCTCCAAGGTATGCCAACATATTCAGAAACCTCTGAAACGTGAAGATATATAAAAATTTTCATTTTCGATTTTTTTGCGATTACTTACCCTATGGAAAGTTAATTATAAATAAATCAATTTATCATCTCCAGAACATTAACAATCGTCATTTCATTTCGAATCAAATTCCAAAAAAAATAGTTGCCAAATTTACACAAAATTGAAAAAGTGCTCCCGCATAGTCACAGTCTAAACGCATTTGCAAATAATTCTTTGCGACATTTTCACTTATACTGTGCTCAGCTTGGCGGCATTTTCACATTTTTCAATAATTTTCACAAAATTGAAAAAGTGCTCCAGTACACAAACAGTCTAAACGCACTTGCGTAAACATTTCTACCAGAGTGGCGCTTAGACTGTGCTTAGCTTGGGTGATTTTTTGAATTTTTAGTCCAAAATTACAAAAAAAAATTTTTGAAAAAAAATTAGAAACAAAAAATTTTTTTCCAAAATCAATTGTTTTGTTGAAAAAAGCAGAAAGTTCTTTGAATCATTTTAATCGGACGCTTAGTTCTCTCAAAAACAGCCATTTTTTTTAAATTTAGCTCGGTATCTCCGAAACCTCTGGGCCTACCTTTGCCAAAAACTAATCAGCACATCTCCCTATCAATAGGAATCGAATGTTTTTTAAACCATTCAAATCGGTTGATCCGTTCTCTCAAAAACTCGCTTTCTATTATTTGCACTCTTTGCTCCATATCTCCGTAACGGCTGGACCTGCCTTTGCCAAAAACTAATCAGCACATCTCCCTATCGATAGGAATCGAATGTTTTTTAAACCATTCAAATCGGTTGATCCGTGCGCCCGAAAACGTGGACGAAAAAACGCGGACATACAAAACACACACACACACACACACACACACACACACATGTATTATATGCATTAAGAAACATTGTCGGAGATGTCATAATTGATGTTTTCAAGGCAATATTAGGAATTCCATCTAATCCCGGTGCCTTGCTATTACCAACGCGATGACAAGCTTCCATCAGTTCTTGCAATGTTATAAGTGGAATATTATTCTGTTCTACATGTGTTACCTGGTAGTTCAAATTAGGTTGTCGTGGAAACAAAGTAGTTACTATTTTATCAATAGTCGTGGGCAAGTTGGTGAAGGTATTGGCTGGCTTTTGAGGCGAGACATTACAGTCTTATAAGGTCTTCCCCATGGATTATCCTCGACTTCATCCAAAGTTCTTTCCAGCACCTAACTTTACTATCTTTGATAGCTTTATTTAGTTGTCTACGTGCTTGTTTATATTCCACTACCAGTTGTGCAGAATTACTGAGACTATATCCACGCTGAGAGATCCTTCTTTTCTTTAGGCACTCTTTACGAAGAGAGCTGATTTCTTCAGTCCACCAGTGCACAGATTGTCTTTGATTTATGCCATGTTTACGAGTCATACTGATATCACAGGCTTCGGTTATTCTCTCCATCAGCTCTCTAGTATGCTCATCTGCGTGTTCTGAAATTATAGGTTTGCAATTTAAGGCAACTCTCATGGCGCTTTCATCAAAAGATTTTATTTTCCACCCAATGGCTTTAGATATTTTCGCATGTCTTCTAATGTTTCTATCTGTTGATATTTCCCAGATGATTGCATTGTGGTCACTAGCAGTGTAGATATCTAATACCTCCCAATTGCAAATTCCTCTGACGAGGCTATTGCTAACAAAAGTAAGGTCTATTATTGAGCTTGCACTGCCCTTTTCAAAGGTTGGTTTATCACCACTATTAAGTAAAACCACGTCAAGTGCATTGAAGGCCTCCAAAAGTGCTTTACCTCTTGCATTAGTCTTCCTACTTCCCCAGTCTACCGCCCATGCGTTAAAGTCACCGGCTATCGCTACGGGGTGGTGTCGTTTTGCATCCTCCACAAGACGATCTAAAAAATCGACAAAATCTGGCAAAGAAAGACTAGGTGGAGCGTAACAGCTGTATAAATGTATGCCATCTAATGATGCTGCGACAAATCCAGCGTTGCTATTGTTAACAACATTTTGGAAACAAAACTTGCCACAGGACCAAATAACGGCTTTGGTGGTACTGTCCGTTTCCCATGGCCAATCAGTTAGATGTTTGTAAGGTTCTGATAAGAGGGCAACATCAATTTTCATATCTCTTACCGTCTGCATAAGCAAGTCGTGTGCAGCCTCACAATGATTCATGTTTAGCTGTATTATCTTCATGCTTTTGCGTTCATTATTTTCTCTATGGCCTCCCTATATAGAGGACATCTGTGAGTGCCGGCATGATGTGCTACATTTTCAGAGTTTCCATTTTCAGCGCATAGTGCACATTTTGCTGCATTTATACAGTTGGCTATTTTGTGACCTTCTTGTCCACATCTAAAGCATAGATTGGTCCGATTCACTTCGCTCTTGCACTGTGATCCATAATGTCCGAATAGCCAGCATTTAAAACATCGAATTGGTTTCTTGATGATTTTAATTTGACAGTTGACCCATCCAATTCGTATTTTGCTACTTGCTTTGAGCAGATCGTGTACAACTGCCGCTGGAAGAGCTACAGTAGCAATCTGGGTACCTCTATATGCCTTACGAAGCCTAATTTCTTCTGCTGGTGTGTTGCAGGCTCCCCCGGTTGCTTTTTGTAGTGCTATCTGGATATCAATTTTTGAGGTTTCATCATCAATATCCCTTATTTCTATAGTTTCTTGGTGCCCCTTATAAATAACTTCGGCCTCATCCTTTAACACACCTGCGATAATCTGTTGCAGTCCTTGGCCTTTGTCCTCACTTTTCTTAGAAATAGTTATCAACAAGTCTCCATTTCTGGTTTTGTTTATTTTCTCTACTGTCGTATTTACCTTGTCATCAGGGACATCATGTTTGATGCGACGTAATATTTCGGAATAATTAACTTTTTCGGTCGGCCGGATTAATAAGGCATTTGGTTTTGGAAAAATTCTATGATTTTTTATCATTTTATGGTTAGAGTCCTGTTCTGACAGATGTACCCTTGCTTCCTTTTTTTTCTGTTTTCTCGGCTGAACTTTATGCCAGTCATTTACCTCGATTTTTTCTTCATTACATATTTCTATGATCGTCTGACGTCTTGGCAAACCATTTTTCTCATTAACCTGATTATTGCTTATATGTTGTGAGTTTCGGTTTCTTGTGGCTTTGCTTGTGTCCTGCCGTACACTTTTTCTATAGGGGCTGTCTCACAACATTGCACTTCATTTATCATAACTTCCGTATCATCCGTGGTTCGGCCTTTTTCCTCTAACAATTGGTTGTCTAAATCAATAAATCTTTTAATTACGGCCGCTATGTTGCCTGTTTTTATTTTCACCTCA